AACCAACTTCTAAGTGGGACTCTGTAAAGACAACTATATGATGTGGGCAAAAAGAAGGATTCTCTTGTCATCGCCCATTAGTTTCTTTCTGTACTAACAAAGAACAACACTTGGTAACTTCTGCCTCTAGATAGATGGCAGAGTGACAGACTATAAATCCTGTGAATTAGATCATTGCAAAGAATACTTTTTTAAGTTCCTAAAGCATCAATATAAAGTTCATATGACATGATTCTATTTTGATGGCAGCAATGGATGTAAAGCTCATAAGACATTTTAAATACGACCTTATGCACCATATATGAGAAGGATACATATATGAGGATGATATGGAGTGGAACCAAATATTTTATATAATTTGTTAGAGAATTAATTTTTATTAAAGTAAACAATTCTATAATTTTTAAATTAACCCATGAGGAATAACTGGTAATAAATATGGTGCATTTAATTGACCAATTTAACACTTTAATACTCTTGCATCTATTTCTCCCTACTTATCAACTATTAAAAAAAAATAAAAGTAATTCTAAATCTTTATATGCCAATATATAAAGGTACAGATTTAAATATTTATGACATTTTAAAGAAAAAATACTTTCCATTCAAATTCTTCAACCAAATGTTAGCCCTTTCAGTGATTATTCCCAATTAATTTATTTTCCAGTTACATTGATCTACAAATTTGGGGAAATTATTGACTTTCGAGATAAAATGTGTTAATTCTTACATATTTTGATTAGATGAATTAGAAAATAGGTGATAAAGGTGCTGGTTGGCTAAAGTTTTCATGATATTTTACAATAAAGATTTATTATACACAGGTGAGTATATTTGCCTACAAGAGAGGGAGGTGTCTAATGTTCATGATGCCTCTAACTTCTCGACAAAGTACCGTAGAACAATGAAAATGGTACCACGTGGAAGTGTATAAATTTATCTTCACTTTGAGACTAAAGATTATTACCTAACTGTAATTTATTGTTCTTTTATTGCAAGGCACATTTGTCTTGGTCAGATCTAAGTATCATATAGTTACATCTGTACAAATGTAGTTCACATTAAATTAACTTCGTTACACAAATCATTTGGTCCAGTGACATCAGTAGTCTACACATATTTATATTCATCAGAGCTTTTCCCAACTCAGAAATCAAATTTGCAAGCAGGTCCTGCCTATTATTAATTGGAATTAAAAAAAACCCTCATTTCTAAAATTTCCTCCAAAGCTTTCTTTCTTTTATCAGAGAACATATCCTTAATTTTATAAATTCTAATGTTCATATTTTTAGTATAGTAGCTGCTGATAACCCTAGGACTATCAGTTTATTTATGATTTATTAAAAGTAATTATATATTTAGCCATAGGGCATGATTTTCAAGAGCAATTTAAAAAGGAAAACATAAAAATACAATATAATTGGCAACATTTTTCAGATCAGGCAATATTAAACCCAACATTAAAATTAATTGATTAACACTGCAGTTCTTTTGACTGTATTTGTTGATTCTCTGGACTTGATATTGACCCAAAAAAGTCAGTTCCAGGCAAATCTCTATAAAAACGAATTTTATTGTTGAAGGCTACTACTAAAATGTCAGATGAAGCATATATTATACAAGTATATGGGGTATAATGAGATACGATACAGTTATGTGAAAAAGTAAGTTCATCCTACATAAAAAGTTCCTTGTTTGATGTATCAATATTTCATCATAACTCAAATAATACATAAAGATAAAGATGGTGTATGAAAATTGTCTTTGTAATCATTTATTCAATAAAAAATAACACGTCATGTCTTTTTGTGGAAAAAAGTAACCCTTGGCTCCAACACTTGATATTGTCTCCTTTATAAGAAACAACCTCAAGTATCTGTTTCTTATAACTATCTACCAGTGTCTGATATTGACTGAGAAATCTGGCTCTAGGAAGCAGTGTCTGACTCTAGGAAGCAGTGCTCATCATCTTCATTTCTTGATTGAGGGAGCCAGTGTTGTCTAAAAACACTTCTGTGGTCTTGTGGCTAGCATGACTATATGCCAAGGTGCATGGAACACTATTGCCTTCCCATCAAAGTGGTATCTCTTAATTTACTTGCGTTTTCATGCTTTCAAACTGCTAGGTGGGCAGAAGCTGGGGCAAGTAATGGGAGCTCACTCCGCTGCACAGCACTCAAATCTCGAACCTGCGCTATCAGCTTTCCAGCTGACAAACTCAGCATTGTTAACCACTAAATTCAATTATCTTTCCAACATCCAATTATCACAACCATATCTTGAAAAGGAGAGAACAAAAGTTCACCAATCAAGCAGGAGATCCAAGTTGACTATTGCCCCATAAATCTAGGAAAGCCTGGGTGGCTCTTCAGGAGATTGTGACTTTTGTCAGTAGTAGAATGTCTTATCATTACAAGTTTCCAAAAACAATTCAGATCTATCAGATAACAATTGTACCCTGGATAATTCAAGTACCGGTAATTAAAATGTTATCATTTGAAACATTCAGAATAGTTTGTTATTACTCTTATTTATATTGACCATGAAATCATGCTTTAGTTATTTAGTGGCTCACCTGACATCTCCTTTAACCTGGGTTGCTTATGGGACTGAGTCACCCTAGTGGTATGTATCTGTTCTGTTAGATCCAGCAGGAGACTCATGTTCCAGGTCCCATCCATAAGAGAATGTTATCTGGTGGGACCAAGCAAGGCTTATTCTGCCACAGTGCACTCCCTTTAAAATTTAATACCCCAAAGATAAGTTTTGCCTCACCCTGTTGGCCTTTTGCAAGGCATTAAATACTTAGCCTTGCTATCAAGCCAGGGGCCCACATAGTGTGGATGAACCTGTAGTATGGTTATACAAATTACACAGTATTTGATTATTATGAACTGATGTTCTGTGCTGTTTTAAGTTATTTGTGTATTTAATTACTGGTTACCTTTTACTTTGTTTTTATTTGTTAGTTAAACAACTGGCCATCTAGAGTCATGTACATGAGATGGACGCCCATATATATTTACTAAATAACTAAATAAATAGCAATAATATTCCAACAGTATGGTTCTTCCCATAAAGCACTGGCTCAATCATTTTACTTTATGAGGAAGAAAAAAATAATGGGAAACTGCTATTTCCCCTTCCTCTGACCAGCTGAACTGGAGACCCCTCCTCACAATGGCTATCAAAACCAACTACCTTATAAGAAAAAAAATAAGAGTAAGTAATCAGCTCTGAAACTGATATTATAATCTTAGCTGCTCCAACAGTTATTAATGAAGAATTGAATCTAAGTTATCATATTTTCCTTTTGTTATCTCATTTTCTTTTCCTGTTATTTTGTGTTTATTTATATAGTAAACCTGAATATGGGGGCCTTCTGTTTTTTAATTATTGATTAAGAAGGCTTCAAGTTGAAGGACAATCATTAATGTTTTAATTAATAAATTTTGCATGGAATAGTAAATAGTAAATGTCTTCAACTTAGAGATTACATATTTTACATAAATAATTGTAACTTATAAATATTAATGTATAATTACTATATCAGATTTCAAAAAATTGAGCATATTAAATTATAGTTAACTATTGCATTTGTAATTTAGTTCTAAGAAAGAATTCTATCAAAGCTAAATTATTTACCAAGTAAATAATATATGTGATTGTAATCAACATTATTATTGTAAGTTTGTATATTGAATGGCATGTTAGAGATACAAAATTGAGTATTAAAAATTATATTTCAGTTTTGTACTAGGACAAAAGCTAGTTATTTCATGCTGACTTATGAGTGATTCTTCTATTTCACAAGCAAGATATGCGATGAAAACAGTATTTGAAACTTGCAGAATTGTATTGCAGCCGAGAATCTATAGCTTTCCGTCAGTTCTGTTGACCAGACAAAACATATAACTGTATATCCTCTCTTCCTTTCAAAACAATATATCAATGCCACTTCCCTTGGCACTGGTATTTGAAGATATCCCTAAAGCAGGGGTAGGCAACCTTGGCTCTTTTATGACTCGTGGACTTCAACTCCCAGAATTCGAGCCAGCCATGCTGGCTCAGGAATTTTGGGAGTTGAAGTCCACAAATCATAAAAGAACCAAGGTTGCCTACCCCTGCCCTAAAGAAATGATGCTCAGTCTCCTTCACTAGTGTTTTTCAAAAAGAGGACCACAGAGTAGAACATTCCTCTAAGGACTTTAACTTGAACATCCTTCTGAGTAGGAATTAATACCAATATTTTCTTTTGGCGTTTTATCTGATTTGATGATGCACTGCTAGGCTTCCCTAGCCAATCTGACTATGCAGCAATTAAATATACTCCCAGCCTTTCTCTGAAGTTTAGAGATGGAGATAAGAATAGATGTACTTCGTGTGACCATCCCCACTCAGTTCTGCAACTATATATAGATAGTCCTAACTTAGTGATTGTTCATTTAGCAACCATTCAAAAGTATTGATGGCAGTAAATAAAATTTATAGCTGTATGCTGAGGCCATCACAGCATCCCTGTGCATGTGATCATGACTGCAACCAGCACTAATTATGATGGTCACAGAATTCCAATCACAATTTGCGACCTTCCCTTCTAGCTTTCCACAATGGGAAACTGGCAGGAAGTTGTATGATAGTTATATGACATAATTAACGATCAGATGTGATTTGCTTAACAGCCAGAATTGCCATTTTAAATTGGCATGTCACTTTTTGCTTTATGACAGCATCACTTAGTGATAGTTTTTAATCCCAATTATAGTTGTTAAGGAGGATTATCTGCAGCTAAAAGAAAAAGTGCCTATCATATTTGCTAGAGTGCAACAAATGTAGCAACTAGAAATACTAAATTCTGATGTGAGACAATTTCTTCTACAAAGTTTTCTTTAAAATTATGAATAGTATTCATAATCAAGTTTACCAAATTTATTACAGAACAAGAACAAAAGAATTGTACAGAAAAAGAACAGTGAATATAAGATGATAAAATTACATACCTTGTTCATAAAGTAATGCCATGTTCACATTTTTATACGATATCAAATAATTTATGACTGCAACTGCACTCTGTACTGTATTTCCCAACAGTGCACCCTGATGCTCCTGTAATTAAATACATTTTAAGAAAAAAAGTTATTTCAGGTATAAACTAGGTCAACTCATTTCAAAGAAGGCCCCTCTGAGGCAATCTTGGAATCCTAAATTGGTGAATAGATAAAACCAATGAAGAAAGAATGAGATGATTTTCATAGTTGCAAGATAACTAGAACTCAATAAAGAAACTGGATACACATTTTACTTTTAAGTGCTTACCATTCTAACTGAATTAGGGTCAGGCTAATCCTAAATTACAGCAGGAGGCAACAACTGATCTCCATTAAGTTTCTAGGTTCAAATATTGCCCATCTCTTATTATTTCTCTAACATATTAGCAGCAAAAACAAACAAATAAACTATCAGTGGACTTAACATTAATTTTAAGAATATCAATACAGACTGTAAAAAATAATTGCTATTATTTTATGTAATATTCTGTCAGACAATACAATTTACCAAACTTCCTTATATAAATTAAATTATTAAATTAAATTATTAAATTAAAATCTTTGATCTGCTCACATTACAAATTCAATATCATTCCTTGGTAGCTATAATAAAGCTTTTGATTGTTAGATCTTGTCAAGAAATGGCTAGTATCTGTGTCAGGATATCTACTTTTTGGGGGCGGGAATTCTCCCCAAGAGAGCTGGGGGTGACCCCTCTCCAAGATCGCTGCTGTAGGGTGAGAATTTTTCTTTCTCTTACCCACGATCTGTTGTGTTTGCTGCCAGAGCTGGCTCGTTGGAAGCCCTGTCCCCTGGATTTGAATGGGGGCACTTAGGAATGACCCAAGAAAACTTTTGGACCACTGTGGACACACCCAGAAGGGGGAATCTTGAAGATTGCAACTTCTTGTGGGAGTAACTGGAAAATCAAGTGACTTTTACATTTCTTCCTACTGGCAGAGCATTTTCATACGCAAGCTTGAGACTTTCAACCTCACTTTTTGAACTTTTGTTTTTGTTTGTATCTTTAAATGTTAATTGGCTGGCTGAATGTTGATTTATTTCAACCCCCTATGGACTTTACCTGCTCTTTCTGCTTTCTCTTTGATTTATTTGGTTGCTCTTATTAATTTCTATATTTTCATATGAAAATACAGCATGCATTTCTGGATGGTGAAAATTACTATATTTTGGCTATATTTTACTGAATATTCACTGTAAGGAATCTGTATTTTGTTAACTTGGATCAAAACAGTCAGGAGCTATCCTTATTTCTTTATTATCTACTTCACTAAGTAACAACATATCAGATTACAGAAAAGGAGGATGCTGATACTGGGAGGAAGGTGGGGAGACTGCTCAGCAACATGCAATCTTTAGTCAAATTTGTTTTTCAAAGGTGATGAACTCATAAAGTCCATGGAAAACATTTTGAAGAAAACAACTCTAAATATTTTAAACTCACGAAAGGAATCTGTTTTTAAAATAGCAGATGAATTGGAAAACAGTATAGACCCAGAAACAACAAAGACTGTGGAAAATCAAAGCCAAGAGGAGTGTGACTTTCCAGTAACAAAGTGGCCAGGAAAAAACAGATCTGGAAATAACAGTCAACTTTATACATCTTACTGAAGCTCAATCCTGTGTTTTCATATAGCAAAGGATTAATAATAATAATAATAATAATAATAATAATAATAATAATAATAATAAGTTGGAAGGGACCTTGAAGGTCATCTAGTCCAACCCCCTGCTCAGGCAGGAAACCCTATACCATTTCAGACAAATGGCTGTCCAGTCTCTTCTTAAAAACTTCCAGTGTTGGAGCATTCACCACTTCTGGAGGCAGGTTGTTCCACTGGTTAATTGTTCTAACTATCAGGAAGTTTCTCCTTAGTTCTAGGTTGCTTCTCTCTTTGGTTAGTTTCCATCCTTTGCTTCTTGTCCTGCCTTCAGGGGCTTTGGAGAATAGCTTGACTCCCTCTTCTTTGTGGAAGCCCCTGAGATATTGGAATACTGCTATCATGTCCCCCCTCATCCTTCTCTTCATTAAACTATTTATGCCTCTACTTTCTGATTTAGAAAGAATGTTGGCTGCAATTGAAGCAGATCATCATCCTGTGAGCTGTCCATTCTCTGAACAGAAGAGAAAAGCCCCAGAGCCATGTCTCAAGTTAGGCAATACACAGTGTGGCAAAGTGAGAATTAAATTACTTCTACTAAGATAACATTGTTCCAATTTATAAGCAGATCAAGGAGATGCAAGGCTTTTGACTTTAAAAAAGTACTGGAAGGTAGAATTATTCAGCAAATATCTCAGTTGGGTTACTCTCCGTTGTGCTACTGTTCTGTATTGTTCCACATGCAATCATGAGCATATTTAAATAATGATTGCTACATAAACTAGATGTACTGTTAGGGCATGTTTGGATACTGATTCTCTAAAGGAAATCAAAAGAATATCAACTACAATCAAATTAGTTATGGAGGAAAATACGCACTATATTAAGCACAGTTTACAAAGCTGTCAGACTAAATACAAGTAACACTAACAACAAACTGACATTTCATTTTTTACTCTCAGCTGAGGTACTATTTTTTTTATTTCAGCTGGGATTTTGTTTTCCTTTCTAAATTTTATTCATCTGTCATTTCTTAATACATCTGTGGACTTCAAACTATATCAAGAGGGCAACATCAAAATTAGCCACAGAAGGGACCAAAAAGAGGACTCAGAACTCTCAGAACTCCTGACAATGTAAACAATTAACCAGTTTGAATGGCTTGACTTCAGAAGTGTGGGTGTCCTATCACTGGAGGTTTTTGAAAGGAGATTGGATAGCCATTTGTTCAAAATAGTATAGGTCCCTTCAACTCTGTTACTCTATTATTCTAGAAGACTAACATCTAAGAATTGAAATTTCAGTTTACATTTTCTTTTTTAAAAAATCTTCTAAATTTTGAGAATTATGAAAATAAACTTCTAGAACTTTTTTAAAAAATTGGGAAAAAACATCTTTTGACAAGGTGGCCCTGTGTTCCAACTGAGAGATGGCACAGCTGACAGGTTGCCCAGCATGCCAGCAGAGAGACAGCCCAGCAGCTCAGCTGAAAGATAGAGAGAAGGCCCAGCCAACCCAGCCTGGCAGCGGAGTGGAGGCAGTGAGGTGCAAGGAAGCCACTGAGCAGAGGTGAAATGAAAATAGGTGGCAGACCAGCAGCTGAGAGCAGCCCGGTGGACCCTGAGCAACAGCTGTGCAGAGGTAAGTGGCAAAGGAGCGGAATACCCAGAACAGCGGCTGAGACCAGTGTGGCAGACCAACTGAGCAGCGGCGGTGCAGAGCTAAGTATGACAGCAGGTAGGAGTGCCCACAGCTGTGGCTGAGAGCAGTGCAGCAGAGCAGATGAGCAGCAACTAAGCACTCAGATTAACACATCATACCTGAAAACCAGTGGTCAGGCAACGGAAAAAAAACCAGTACACCCAAATTGAACACAACAGGGAACAAACAACTTTTGAAAAAATTGACTCTATATATGAACTTAAAAAAGAAGATTGATGGAAACATGTCACTTTTAGAAGAAAAGAGCAACCAAGAGCAAAGTCCCTTCTATATACCTTAGGCCACTCCAGTGAAGCCCCTCTGGAGCTGAACAATTGCTTTTATAGCTTCCCCCTGGAAGAAAATATGCAAACACCTATAAAAGATCAGTCATCAATAATTTCTAAAAAGGAGACACAACCCAGTATCCCTATCACAGGAAGAATAGTACCCCAGATTTTCCTATGAAAAAAGAGACAAATATTGATGATAGAAGATTCAATTCTTTGGGAACAGAAACTATAGTCAGCAGAACGAACAGTCAATCTAGGGAGGTATGTTGTCTCCAAAATCATGGCATCTGGCCCTCTCAATTCCTGGCAAATAGATGGGGAAGAAATGGAGGTAGTGACAGATTTTATTTTCCTGGGCTCCAAGATCACCTCAAATGGGGACTGCAGCCAAGAAATTAAAAGACGCTTGCTCCTGGGGAGGAAAGCTATGGCAAATCTAGACAGCATACTAAAAAGCAGAGACATCACCCTGCCAACAAAAGTGCATATAGTCAAGGCCATGGTTTTCCCAGTTGCAATGTATGGATGTGAAAGTTGGACCATAAGAAAGGCTGAGCGACAAAGAATTGAGGC